TCCGTAATGTCCCTGGGCCTCGGTTCGCTCACTGTAACGTGGAGATGGTAAGAGACACAGTGACTGGCAGGGTTCAAGCTTTGAGTACGTGTGGCGACTCTCACTAACCTCCCTCCTCCTGGTGCTGGGACAGCCGAGGGGGTGAAGACACCGGCCATCGTGTCTCTCTGACCCCGGAGCCTGAGAAGGAGCCTGGAGCGCACCGCGTGCCCGCCCTGCGGGAAGCGGGCCTCTCCGAGGGGCAGTCTCCCAACAGAACATGGAAGAAGCAGAAGGCAGCTTTGAGGATGTTTAGCTCACCCTCGTGTTTCTCTCGGGGAAACTGAGGCCCAGAGAGTTGAGGTGACTTCCTGATTCAGCAAGGAGAAGCCTTGGGTATTCAACCCAGGTTGGGAAGGGGATCCAATTATTTCTCAATCCCAGTGTACTCTGGAATGACCGATTTGTTCACGTCACTGTGACCTAGGAACACGTGAATGGAACCCACAACTGTGGGCCTCTGCGCACGGAGCAGCCGTTCACCCCAGGAAATCAACTTTTTTTTTTATTAAGAGAAGCTGAAATTTTATTTTAAAAGAGAGAGAGGTAGCTCATTCTAAAAATAGCCTTATTGCAGAAGTTAGTTTTCAACCTCCCCTTTTGCTTACGTTGCAAAAATTAAATCTTAAAGAAGTTCAACAAAATGCAAAGTTGGAGAGGTCTAGGGAAGGGTGGAGCTATAATCAGAAGAAATGTTTGCCAGGAACCTGTCACTCTGTGGCTTTATGAATGGGAGGCCTCATTGAACCCACAATATAAAAGGGGGACACAGTAGGTGAGGTCTACACATCAGGGGCTTGCTCTCGCTCAACCAAACCACATAGCAACTCGTAGGAGAAGACAGAGCTCCGCCATGCCCAGCTCAGCACTGCTCTGTTGCCTGGTCTTCCTGGCCGGGGTGGGGGCCAGCCGAGACCAGCGCACCCCGTCTGAGAACAGCTGCACCCACTTCCCAGCCAGCCTGCCCAGCATGCTTCACGAGCTCCGAGCTGCCTTTGACAAGGTGAAGGCTTTCTTTGTGAGTATGATGCCTTCCCGTCTATTTTTCCTGAGACCACCTGAACGAGGTGCCCTGCCAGAGCTCTAAGAACCCTCCTTTTAGCTTGCCTCCATCACCAGCGCCTATTCTCCCCAAACTTAAATTCTTAAGAGAGTCCCCCTGTCAAGCCAGGGCTTCAATGAATGTGCAGGAAAAGCTGCCTAAAAGATAAAAGCACTCTCTCTCCTATGCTCAGAAACTTTTTATAAGATTCTGCTGGAGCCAGAGACATTATTAACTGGGAGAAATCACAAATGGGGTCATTAAGGTGCAGATGCCCCAGCCCTGTGGCAGGGAAGTGGTGAATGCCTCTGCTTAGAGCATTCCAGAACCTGAAAGACTGACAGTTTGGGGAAGCACCATGCAGGGGGAAACCTGCGTGAGCGGCTGCCTCCCATTTCCAGAGAGCCTTCAGACCTGCCGGGGGTGTCTGCAGGAGGAAGGAAGACAGGCAGAGAGCATTGAGGGGCTGACACGGGCGGCCCCTTCAAACCTGATGAGTCTCTGTAGGAAGAAGACCAGGACTGAGTCAGGCTTCTGCCCTGGCTTCCAAATCGGGCAGAATGTTTTAAATAACTTGATCCCGAAAAGGAGGAGGACCTGATTTGACTGAGTTTCAGCAACAGTGAATGTCTCATTTTGAAAACTCTCCTTTCCATTTTTGGGCCAGGGCTGCAGTGATTAAAAATCAAAAACTCTATAAATAAAGGACATTCACTTTAAGTATTTCCCCAAACCTTGGATTCATTCTCCTTTTGTTCTTCTTGCAGCAAATGAAGGACCAGCTGGACAACATATTGCTGAACGGGTCCTTGCTGGAGGACTTTAAGGTGAGAGCCAGGTGGGTGGGTGGGGGAGTATGCACTGTGACTAGGAGAAGGGAGGTTCTGCTTCACGCCTGCAAGGAGTTGGGTCCTCTTCGTTCACTTTGAAAAGGAGAAGTGGGAAGATCTTAACTCAGCACATAGCCAGCCAGAGGGTTACCAAGGTCTCAGTTGTGGGGGAAGGAGTCTGGCGAGGAAAGGTTCCCGGGGACTAAGTTATCCTGTCAAGCTAGTGGCAGCCCTTCCTACCGGTCACCACCCCTCTGCTCCTTCCCTTAGGGTTACCTGGGTTGCCAAGCCTTGTCGGAGATGATCCAATTTTACCTGGAGGAGGTGATGCCCCAGGCTGAGAGCCAGGGCCCAGACATCAAGAAACACGTGAACTCCCTTGGGGAAAAGCTGAAGACACTCAGGCTGAGGCTTCGGCGCTGCGTGAGTAACAGCCCCGTTCTTTCCCTCGCAGCTTTTCGGCTCTTCCTGAAACACCATCCTACAGCCAGACACACAGACACAGAGTGGCAGGAGCCCTCTCATTTCTCTCTGAGCAGGAGTGGGGGTGGCTGCTAGGCATTTACATGTGAAGGTTTGCAAATAGCTTTCCTGTTATTTGTGAGTCATTTGTGGGTTATTAACTATTCGCCTCTCTCTTTATGAAAGGGGCCCAGAGCTTCAGTCAGGGCTCCCTTGTCCCTTGGGACCTAAGCCCTGGGCCCGGCAGGAAGAGCCGGGAGGTGAAGGTCCCTGGAGAGAGGAAACTCCACTTACCTCTTAATCTTGGACTTTAGGTGGGCCCAAAATGACTGACAGAATTTTCCCCGGTATTCTAGAATGGCCCCGAGGCTCGTGTCTACAAACGATTCCCCAGGATAATTTATTTCTTCAACAGAAATGACACCCTCACTTCTGGTTTCCTTTGTTCTGTCGCGGATAATGGGAAATGGGTTGATTTGGGTCTCTATTTGTGGGATGGGACAATGCAAAGAACTTGGTCCACAGAGTTGAGACTGTGTCAGTTCCTTGGGGACTTAGACATGGTCTCCGGTGGCTGGAACTTAAGGGGAGGGACAGGACAGAGAAGCAGGAAAAAACCAGAATGGCCGGCTCAGCATCTAGTCAGCACCGGGCATTCTACAAGAGGAAGCTCCAAGACCTGGGTTTTCACGCAAGTCTTGCAGACACGTTTCATCTCCTGGGCTATGTTTCTCCTCTGTCTGGTGTGGAAGGATGAGCAATAGGGCTATGGGGGTGGGGAAGCCTTCGAGACAAGCCTGGCTCCTTCTTCATGCCACCAGCCTGTCCCCCAAGTGCTATGGACTCAGGGTCTGGGAGCCAGTGTCTTTAACATTTTCTCCTTTCCTCCACAGCATCGCTTTCTACCCTGTGAGAATAAGAGCAAAGCAGTGGAGCAGGTGAAGAGCGCTTTTAGTAAGGTAAGCTTTAGACGGTGGCAAGGAGGGTTAGGGGATCATGACCTCTGTCCACTCCCCAGCTGCTAAGCAGGCCCCCTCCTTGACTAGGAGGGACTGTGGGAACCCAACAGATGGTGTGACCTCCTCAGTCAGTGAGGAGCTGTCGCTTGGGTTATATTTGTTTTCTGTGAAGTGTCTTTGGGGGTTTCTAAATGACTGCTCCCCGCCTTTGCAGCCCTGTGAGTTGAGCCAGCCACCTGTGAACACAGTGAGCTGGGTGCTGGGGAGAGTGACAAAGGAAACAGAAAGTAACTTGTTGGGAATCCAGACTGATGCCACACGTGCAGGAAGCCGACACGTGAATGTGCACACACAAACACACCCAGGGGTTCAGCCTGGACTCCCCAGAACTCAGGCAGAGCAGGAAGCAGGATTCTCACTTATCTGGAGTTGGAACATGCTCGCTTTCCATCTGCCACTTCCATCTCTCATGGTGCTTGAGAATGTCAACTCTCAAATCAAATGTCCATGAACATTTAAACCCCATTTCCCAGAAAGCCTGTGGCTCGTGTCCTCTTCAGGGTCTGGGGACAGACAGTGGGCAGGGTTCCACCATCAAGGGGACACAAATCCCCTGACGTAGGCTGGAGCGGTGGGGTTGGGGGGCCCTGCTCAATCTCTCGGTGAGAGAGAATAAACCTAAAAGAGGCTCCCTCTCTTCTCTCACTGTCTTGCTTTCAAAGTGGTTCCTCTAAGGGTCCTTCAGCAAATTCTGAATAAGCATCATGTGAGCACATGACCTTTAAAATTATTGGAAAAGCACCCTTTTGAAAACTGTGCTTTGCAGAGTGGATGTTCCTCTTGCCACCACGAGCTATGCTTCATGTCAACGCACAGCCTTTCCCGAGGCAGCTGGGCATATCCTCAGGTTCCCTGAGTCCGTTCTTCTCCTCCTGACTGGAGGGGTCAAGGGCAGCTTCCAGGCCCCAGGGTCATGACCATCCAAGCAAGGGACCCACTTACTTACTTGCTCAGTTTGGGTTTTCACTAAACATTTCTTATCTTCATACACAGCTCCAAGAGAAAGGGGTCTACAAAGCCATGAGTGAGTTTGACATCTTCATCAACTACATAGAAGCCTACATGACAATGAAGATGAAAAAGTAAGACATCCTAAGGAAGAAAACATCCAGGACGGCGACTCTGCTAGACCCTAGGATGTAAATGGGAGATCTCCAAAATCTAACCCAGGGTTCCGAGAGAGCCACACCAGCTCCTCAGGAAACCTGTCGGACCTCTCTCCTAGAATATTTATTACCTCTGATACCTCAACTCCCACTTCTATTTATTTACTGAGCTTCTCTGTGAACTATTTAGAAAGAAGCCCAATATTATAATTTTGTTCAATATTTATTATTTCCACCTGTGTTTAAGCTGTTTCCGTTGGGTAATACCCTATGGTATTTAAGTGATTTAAGAGAAATTATGTTATATAAGGAAAAAAATGTTTCTTGGGAAGCCAACTGAAGCTTCCATTCCAAGCCTGACTGCACTCGATATGAGCTCTTTTCCCTCACCTCCCTCTAATTTATTTTGTCCCTACGTCTGGGGCTCCCAGAATGTTACAAAGACTCTTAACCTCTTAGGGAGAGAAACCAGGTAGCCCCTCAGTTAATTAATATTCCAGTGGCTCAGAGGGATTCTCCTGACCTTGTTTTCCAATCACTTTTTTCTTGAAAGCTGTGGCTAACTTGTTATTTATAACAATCTAAAATTGGTTCTAATAGAACTCAATTTTAACTAGAAGCAATTCAATTCCTCTGGGAATGTTACATTGTTTGTCTGTCTTCATAGCAGATTTTAATTTTGAATAAATAAATGGGTCTTATTAAAATCATGTATGGTGTCAGTTGACTTTTGTCTTATGAAAATTATTCCCTCAAAGTCTCCAAGACAGAAGAGAGTAGATGAATGAATTCTGCATTCCGGAGTAAGAAGCCAGCTACCCTCTCCCAGAGTGTGAAGGTTCCAAATCTGAGCAGGGGAAATAGGTATTCTTCCTCCAAAAGCCAACAGCAAAGACCATCATAGTCTTCCCATAAACTTAATCTTTTAAGAAATTATTCTTAAATCCTTAAAGAACATGCTGATTTTCAAGGCTAAGGAAGATTGTTTACATACCAGAATTAGAAAGATAGGCAGAAGAAGTTGTTTAGTGGCTTTGTTGTTTGTTTGTTTTGTTTTGTTTTTGTTGGTGGTGGTGTTTTTTTTTTTTTTTTTTTTCTGATTAATTCATAAATTCACCAAGTATTTATTCAATGACAAATGTTGGTCAAATACTTTGGTTTTTGTTGGGGGTTTTTTTTTTTTTTTTTTTTTTTTTTTTTTGCTTCTTCAAGCACCAGAGGTCCAGGGGTGAATACTAGTTTGCCTGGGTTATCATTAGAATTTAGATAGACTGCTATCATGGCTCTTGTACTAAGAGATGGCCCCAGTGCACACAATTGGTTTTTATTGGTATTCACAGCTAAAAACTCCTACAAACCCCTTCTTGAGCTGAAATCAAAGGGAATTAGCTGGTCCCAGTAGAGTAGAATACAAGCAAATTAGCCCACTTGATAGGATACCAAAGGATTTAAGCTGCTGCCACTCCTCCTTGAGCCATCAGAAAGATGTGAGATTCGCTTCTGATTGCGGTCTGCTGGGAGGGGCATGGTGGCTGGGGAAACCCTACTCAAAGCCCAGTGGCTTGGAGAGAGGGAGAAAGAATAGGCTGAGTAAACACTGGTCCCCCTCACACTCTGCCTCGGCATCCCTGGTCCAGGGTAGGATGGGACTGGCTGTGGTCAGTTTTTCAGTAAGACCTGACTCACTTCGGTTAAAGTAACCATAGGAAGGAAGTGGGGAGCATCAAAGCTGAAATTCTGAGATGAAAGGTTAGGTTTAAGAATGGAGGCTCGCAGAAGACAAGGAAAGAAGGAGCGAGGCTGTTTTTTGCTAAGGCTTCTATACTGAAACAGAGAAGAAGCCATGAGTCCCTCAGCCAGGAAAGTTTAAATGGTTAGGACTCTCTTCAAGGCATTGTACACTAACTTAAGCTTGAGGTTGGCACCTCATGTGAGGGACATGGGCATCTGAAACCAACAGATAGAAACTCCTCTGGGGAAGCCACACAGCTGATATTACAACAACTACAATGTATTGAGCACTTATTTTGAGCTAGTCAGTACTAGGCATATACGTATCAGGCATACTATAAAGTATTTTGTTGCTATTTTCTATAAGAGGAAACTGACTCAGAAATGTTGATATGGCTTGGCCATGGTGGTAATGTGGACAATGGAGAACTGAGAACAGCATAAAATGCCTTTCCCTTTGTATTAATTATCCATTGTTGCTCCCCGCCCCCAAGTTTAGCAGCTTAAAACCACAAACATTTATTATCTCACAGTTTCTTATAGATCAGGAATCTGGGAGTGACAACCAGGGGTTCTGGCTCAGAATCTCTGATGAGTTTGCAGTCAAAATGGCAGCGAGGGCTACAATCACTTGAAGGCTTGACTGGAGCTGGACAATTCTCATCCAAGGTGGCATACTCACGTGGCTATTGGCAGGAAACCTCAGTTCCTCATGGGCTATTGGCCAGTGGCCTTGGTTCCTTACTATGTGGGCCTTTCCAACACGCGTGGCTACTTGCGTGTCTTTACAACATGTAGCTGTCTTCCCCAGAGCCCATGATCTGAGAGAGGACAAAGAGATAGTCATAGTGTCTTTCAGATCTAATCTCAGAAATCTCACACCATCACTCTGCCACATTCCATCTGTTAGCAGCGAGTTGGTACGTATAGCCCCTACTCAAGGGGAGAAGAATTAGAACCCACATTTTGAAGGGAGGAGTACCAAAGAATTTGTGGACAAAATTTTAATATTACTACACCCTTCTAAAAATTTAGAAGAAATAACTATACTCGAATGATGCAGCAGGAGCCTGGATTAGTGGGAGGACAAAGAGGATGGGAGTAGGCGTCAGTGTGCACAGAGGCGTCATCATCATGGACACCACCCTCCTTCAGTCCTCTCTCTTGTTGGCTTAGTCTAATAGTTTATTTCTCTGAGCCTCAGTTTCTCATCTGGAAAACTAGCAAAACTTCTTTCCCAGGTGTTATGGACTGAATGTTTGTATCCCTTTAAAATTTATATGCTGAAGCCCCAACCCCCAGTGTGATGGATGGTGTTTGGAGGTGGGGCCTTCTGAAGGTAATTAGGGTTAGAGATAGAGGATTGTCTTTGAACAATTCCCAAAATTTGAAAAATCCTAATGAAATTGTACATTTTTTACCCCCACCTCCCATAAGTCTGCACAGGCTCATTTAAAAAACATTGCTACGTGCTTGGCTAGAGTAATAGTCACTTTGTATGAAAATACAGGTTGTCTTGTGCTGATCAGAGGCTCTGTTTGGTAGTGATCTATTACATTTTTGTTTAACAAAATCAGAAAATGGAATTATTTCCTTAAATATTTTTAACCAGCCGAAATATTTCAAAATAGAGATTCTTTGGAGAAAATTAATAGCAGTAGTCCTCTGTGGTCAAAAGCTTCAAAACCACTAAATTAGATGACATCCAGTTCCCCTCGAGCCCATTGTTTCTAATTCTACCGTCAGATTCCTGCACTCAGCTAGTCCCAGTCCCTCTTGAACCCTCTGGGACACATTCCTTTGTCTACATAGTCTGCACTGGAAATTTTCCAGACATCTTCCCGGTCATCTGTGTACTATCAACAGCTCCTTCTCCCAGCAGGGTAGAGCAGCCACAGAACCCTGAGCTTCCCGAAGCCTCCTAGACAGCTGAAGAGGACATGGGGGAGATAAAGGACCTGCAGAAAAGTAACACAGCACAGGGATGATGTGCACAGCCTGGTGAAGTAAATATCTATATATGAATTATAGCCACTGGAGTTACATAAGTCCAGTAAACTGCTTAACATAGTTGTCTAATTGCCATGCAGAGAAATAATAGTTGCACATGCCATTAAATATAGGTTTGATTAACTATGTAAAAAGTTTTATTGATTACAATACTGGGCTTTGTTCAGATATGCTTATTATCTACCATTGTTGCTTATCTGCTAGCAACCTGAAAAGTGAAACAGCTTACTACTGTTTCAGAATAATCAGCCAAGCACCACTCGGAAGAGTGGGAGAACTCAAGTTTATTATGCCGGCAGTCCCAGAAGAGCTAGTGCTCTGAAGATCTGGGCCCTGAGCTCAAGGGTAAACTTACTTTTATAGGGCTTATCTGCACAGTTACAGTTTTACAGTTGGCATGGGCCAATAGTTTAATTTGTCCTCAGGTGGTTACGGAGCCCAGGAATTGCTATGGGCTACTGAGCTCCCAAGTTACTATGGGTTACAGAGCCAGGCACTGCTATAGGCTACAGGCGGTTACGTGGCATGAGATTTTCAAACAGGAACTTAGGCAATACATTTGTTATCTAGACAGAACAAGCAAAAGAGGAGGATGAGCCTTTAGCTACTCCAGAGGTCACCCTACCCTTCAGCCTACGCAGCAAGCATGTCTGCAGAAGCAAAACAAAGAGTTGTTTACAAAGTTAATCATTTGAGTGAAAAATTCCTCTTCACTACCTTGCTTTTACTCTTCCTATTATTTAAAAAATATTTTTTTCCCAAAGTCAAGAAGCTGTTGCATGACAGAGCCCATAGATCATCTAATACACAACCCAGAATCACATGCCTGTTTAAAGAAGACTTAGATTAGAAGAGGGAGATACTATTTCCCCAGCTGAACCCTACCATACCCCTCTACTAGGGTGGAATTAGAAACTGTGGCTGGTATGCAGCATATATAACTACTCTAGGCTCCTTGCAGAATAATCTCTACATTCATATGTGACAAGGATGAGACTCAAATCAAAACAGAGGCAGACTGGCTTCTCCCTGGCCTTTGCCAAATTGCAGGTTTTATGAGATGCACATTTTCACCCAGAACCTATTATGTTCTCAGTATCATGTTGGGTGCCAGGGAAAATGAAATAAACAGACATGGTGTCTACCTTCATGGATTTAATAGCTAGGTGTAGAAAAATATATTATAAAGTTAACTACACAATTTTATTATAATTGTGATATCTGCTAAATGAGAAGTGGGAGCTTTTAACAGGTCAACTAACCTAGACTCGGGGTTAGGGGGAGGCTTCCATGAGAAGGTGGCGTTCAGCTGGACATGAAGGATGAGTAGGAGATGGCCAAATGAAGAGGGAGGTGATGAGGACCTTAGGCAGACAGAGCCACATATTTAAAGACCCCTTAGAACTGCAAAGAGTGGCGGGTAGGGGGCTGTCTCTGAAGCAAGGATGGATTTGTACCGATCTCAACCTAGCTAGACTCTGGGCCCTCTTTGGGACTCTGTGGCTTCTCCATCTCCTCTTGTGTTCTGAAGCCCTGGAACAGGAAGGAACTTAAACTATTTAAGGGACTAAAAGGTGATGCACAACAAGTGAGGGGCATTATGCGTGAGGGAGAGAGATTAAAGATGAGCTGGAAGAAATGGGCAGGGATAAAAAAATTTAGACTTTAACGTAAGAGCAAAGGACAGCCACTGAAGGCTATAAAGTAGAGAGGAGAAGATACATCTTCTGAATAAGACATTTTAGGGGCCATTTGTTTGTAGTCCAGAGAAGAGAAAATTGTAGTCTAGACTAAGGTGACAATAAATGGGAAAGGAAAGAAGTGCAAGTGTTCAAGTACCAGCAACTCCTTGGATGACAGTGGTGACAGCAGGTGATGGTCAAGATAAACTTCAGATTTCTGGCCTGGACAACTGGATAGAGAAGAAACAGGTTTGCGGGGGGAGGTGATACATTATACACTGGCC